CTCCTCCAGGAGCTGTGTGTACTCTGCTCCCCTGGCAAGGAGTGAGGGTTGTAGCTCACTGCTGAAGACCACTGCCCTGGAGATGGGCTGGTGGGAAGAGAAATGTCGGTGGGGCCCTGTCCTTGCTATGCTCTCTCTCCAGCTGACCTCTGGAACCGAGCCCCGGGGTGGCAGGGCCCTTGAGAGTCTCCTGACATGGCCCCTAGGATGCACAGCTTTATGTGGAGCTGTAGCTGGGCAGGGAGGTAGCACCCCCGCCACAATCTGGGGGAGGGGGTACACATGCAAATACAAGACGAGGGATTGATGGTGAGGTGCTGGACTGAAGTATTCTTTTTTAACATATTTTTTATTGAGTTCAGAGAGGGAGAGAGAGATAGAAACATCAATGATGAGAAAGAATCATTGAATGGTTGCCTCCCACACACTCCACATTGGGGATTGAGCTCACAACCCAGGCATGTGCCCTGACCGAGAATTAAATTGTGACCTCCTAGCTCATAGGTAGATGCTCAACCACTGAGCCACGCCAGCGGGCAAGAAGTATTCTTGAGACTTATGTGGGCCACAGACTGAACCCACACCACCCATGTGCTGTGGCTCTTACACAGGGACAGAGTTCTGAGCTTGGATCTGGAAACAGACTCATCGTGCAGGGCAGGGATCGGGATGTGAAGGTGGTGAGGGTTCATGGGGAAGGCAAATCTGGGGGCAGGGGAGGCTGCATCTCAGCCTAGGTTTGGGGGAAGATACTGGAAGTGAACTCACTGAGCTTTATTGAGCAAGTACATCCTTATGGTCCCTGTCTTCTCTGGCAATGTAAATCTGACATCACGCGAAGTATTTGACGGGTATGTGGGGTGGCGCAGGGGCAGTGGGGAGCCTGGCTTTGTTGGGGAAGGGATGCCCATCTACTCTGGGTACATCTGGACTGTGTCCTAAAAGGGTCACCTGAGAAGCTCGATCCATATGACAGCTGTTTGAGAACAGGAACCTGGAAGAGGAAAACCCGCCCCATAGCAGGCAGGCTACCTGATATAAAAGTAAGAGCACAATGTAGAAGACCATGCCTTCTGTCATTACTGAGGAATTAATTTCATTTAACCAGATACGAATTGAGAACCTTTTACACAGCTCCCAGGGGATGCCAGAGACACAGATGAATAATTATGGTACAAACCTATTGTGCTTTATATAAACAGAAAGTGAATGTAAACAACGGAGAGGTTGATTCTGATGGAAGGGGAAACAGGATTCAACAGAGCAGAGTTGAACACAGCTGGAGCCCAAGATGGGGGCAGAGGGAGAAGAGAGGGGTCAGGAAGTGGAGAGGACAGAGAGAGAGAGGTGAGCTTGGTGTCAGCCCAGCAGTCCCTGCATACCAAGTTAAAGAGTGAGGATTTGGCTGACATCAGGCCCAGATGCACTGATCAACTCCCCCCACCCTAGCACTGACCAATCAGTAGAGGCCACAGCCCTCACTGGGCTCCAACTCCTCAAGTCACCATGATTATGATTCTTCCCCTTTAGAACCCATCCCCTGGAAGCCACGGGGGAGCAGGTCTTCTAGCATTAGCTCACCTGTCTCCAGGCATGGGCCACTTCCTAAAACTAAACCCTTTCTTTGCTAGGGGAAAAAGATTAGGATTTGAGGCAATTTGGGAGTAAGGGGTGGAATGTGAAAGGAGAGGTTGGAGATGGCACAGAACCATGGGAAGAAGGTAACCATGTCCTTAGTCCCAAACTCTGCCAGCACAGCGTACCTCATGAAACCTTCATGATAACACCATTGAGTAGAGGTTATTGTTCCCACTGTGGATCTGGGTCTCCTGACCCCTTTTCAATGTGCAGACCCATTCAAAAATAACCCTCTCCAGCTCTAAGGGGGGTGAAGGAATGCAAGTCTCTAATGCAGGGTTCCTGAGGGTACCTTCCACAGCTACTCTCCTCCTAAGCCTCCTCTGCAAACACCTCTTCCCCCAATTCTTTCTTCTTAGTGGTGGCTGTTCTCCTCTCTCCCTCTCTTCTTTCTCTTCTACCCCAACAGTTCCAGGGCACCATTTCTCACTCACTGCAACTTACTGCTTCCCTGGTTTCCCCCATCAATCATTCAAATTAGCAAGACAAAGGGTCCTCTTCAGAAACCGCCCTTCTTAGAAAGTATTAGAATTCTTTAGGCTAATAATTTCGTAGTCTTGCCCAGCCATATACTAACAAGGAAATGGAAGCTCAGAGAAAGTAAGGGATTAGAACAGGTAGATATTATGGCACTGACAAAGAGAATGGAAGGGTTGGGAACCGGTGCTCAAAGAGAAGGAGACCAATTATAAGACATCTCTTCACCATGGATGGAGAAGAGTCAGAGGTTGCCAGGAGCTAGAAACTGTTTTTGTGTCCTGATTACAGTGGTGGTTATGTGCCGGGACTGACCGGCAGACCCTGAGCAACCAATGAATGGAGTACTCTGACACATGTTTCTGTGAAAGAGAGGACTAAGGGACTGCTTCACGATAGCAACCAAACAGCCCCCCTCCTTAGGCTTTTATTGTAACAACAGCTTGAACTAAAATCAAGTATTAGATACTATCAGCAGGGTAAGCATCCTTGAGAAGACACATGCTTCTACAAGGTCGGGTTTAAAGACTAAACATAGAGATTCCAGTAAAGCGCCCAGGGGCTCAGACTTGTTTGGAAAAGTTAAAGCAGGGGCTGCTGCCTTTGGCAAAATCCCCCTAGAGAAGTGGTTCTCAACCTTCTGGCCCTTTAAATACAGTTCCTCATGTTGTGACCCAACCATAAAATTATTTTCGTTGCTACTTCATAACTGTAATGTTGCCACTGTTATGAATTGTAATGTAAATATCTGATTTTCAGGATGGTCTTAGGCGACCCCTGTGAAAGGGTCGTTCGACTGCCAAAGGGGTCGCGACCCACAGGTTGAGAACCGCTGCCCTAGAGGCTTTTGGCCTTTTGGAGATTCCGCCTTACAGACTTTCCAACCAAGTCCCCTGTTTCCCCACAGTTATGTTTCTAAACATTTGTCAAAACTCACCAAAAGGTAAACAGTAAGTGACTTTTACTGTATGTCAATTTAAAAATAAATTTCAAAAAAATGACAGGGAGACTGGCTGAGAGACTACAGAATAGTCAAGAAGTAAGGAGAAGTTGAGTTACAGCAGTAGTAAGATTGAAAAAAAAAAAGAAGGGGACCTAGGTGAGAGAAATTTCAGAGATGAGATTCAGATGTGTGGGGAATATGTGTGAAGAAGGAATCACAGAAGGTAGACTATGGATTTTTAGAGTTGGAAAGGCTCTTAAGAGATCATCCAGAAAAGTTCTGTCTCACAGATGAGAAAACTGAGTTCAAAATGATTTCAGCGTTTGGGCTCTGTCTGGGTGGATGGTGATATCATTAACCAGACAGAACAGGCACGGAACAGCCGGCTCAGGGAGGAAGTTGATGAGTTCACTTTTGGATATTTTGAATTTGGAACATTTATGTCACCAAGATTTCTTTTTTTAGATTTCAGGAATTTGAAAACAAAATGGTTAGGTTTTGGCATGGAAAGCAGTATCTTTTCCCAAATACTGTTTCATTGCAGCTACAATAAAAAAGAACTCGTGGCTGTGGAGTCCTACATGAAGATGGCACGGGAGAACATTCTGAGTTTGTGTGCGTGTGACCAACAGTCATTGAAAATCACAAGTAAAGAAGGCTACTGATCCAGTAAAGATTTCAGGCACATGCTTCATTAATGTGCTTGCCATTAACACGACCATATGTTCATGTATCAATACAACCAAGTTTGCTCTTCCTTATCCATAACATACAGACCAAACGTTGAAAACCAGTTGTTTTCCATTCTTCCTGATGCCAGGATGTAATTTACTGCTGGTTTGTTTGTGCTTTTGTTTTATCTCAGGTAGCAACTAACCAAAGGAAGAGGAGCACAGACTTACTACTAGTCGACCGACAGCAGCCTAGAAAAAGTGTCAGTGCTGCAGACAGGAATCAAGGAGACTTTTGTCACTATTTCAGAGCAATTTGCAAAATGATTTGATGTAACAGTCAGGCAGGGGAAAGAAGTACTCAACACCCTCACAGCCCCTGGGATATGTAACCAATGTTAAAAACCAGATCCTCAAAGTTACAAGCCAACTAGAAGGCATAGTGCTTTTGGCTGTAACGTTTAGTCACAGAATAACAAAATATAAAGTTAAGGACATTTAAAATAACTGCTTCCTGTTTTTTCAAGAGCTGAGTAGGGTGAAGGCAAAGTTGTGAGTCTTAGGTAGAAGCTAGAATATAAGTGCCTTAAAGAAAAGATCTTTGCTTTGTTCAATGATGTGTCCAATGCTTAGCACTGTAGCAGGCTTTCCATGTGTAATTGTTGAATGAATGAATGAATGAATGAATGAATGAATGAATGAAGCTAGGAGAGACATGAACAAGTCAAAGTGAGAGATGGCAAAGCCACTATACTTCATTCATTCATTCATTCAGCAAATATCACTGAGCACTTAACTAATGCCAGACCATTTTCAGGCATGGTAGTGGATATACAAATGCAGAAGACATGGTTCTGGGCCTCAACACATTTATAACTTAGGAAAGGAAGGAAAAAAGGGTAGCAAACATGTATATACCAACCAACACAATATCAGAGAGCATGCCAGGAAGCTTGGAAGGGAGGCACATAAAAGGCAGAAAGGGTGGTATAGATTTAGAGGTCAGTGGGGGCACCCAACAGGGACACCTTCATCCAGGAGGTCTGAGCCTTAAGGGATGAAGAATTTTGCAAACCTTGGACAGAAGCAGAGCATTCTGATGCAAAAATAGCAGGGGGGGCGGGAGGAGGTGGGATATCCCAGAGCAGAGAAGACAAGATGGGTTTAAGGAATAATAAATCTTGCTAAGGAGTAGCAGGGACCACTGGACACTGAAAATTCTCATCCAGAGAGGAACTTGAGCATCAGGCACTTTGTCTTACAAGGGAGGATAAGCCTTTTTTTTTTTTTTTTTTCTTTTTAACCAGGGAAGAATTTTAATCAAATCTGTTACAAAGCATAGGTAAACTGGAGCGAGGAGAAACTGGAGTTAGTTACTGAAATCACCTAGGCAAGAATTAGCAAGGGTGGTGGCAGCAAGATTAGGAAAGAATGGAGAAATGACAGGGCTCTTGTCTCCCTGCATAGGGAGTGAGCAGAAACAGTAAAAATGCATCCTGAGTTTTGAGCCGGGGTGATCAGGAGAATGGTGGGGATGTGAAGAGACACTGTTGAGTCCAAGGAAAGTTTTGGAGGGATAATGAGTTTAGTCCTGAATTAAATATTTTGATTGTATGTTACATTTGAGCTGCCAGCAGGAAATCCAGGTGGAAAGATAGGATAGTATAGAAGCAGGACAGGAGTTTGTAGAAATACCCATTTGAGAATCAGCTGCATATAGGTGATATTGAGGCTGTGAGGATGGAGAAGGAGACAGAGTAAACAGTAAGTATTAAAGGGCCCTCCAAACCATTTACTCAACATATTCCCCCAGAACATGTTTTTCAAAGCAAAAGAGAATGCCTAAAGCTGGTTTTTAACTTGAAGTAAAGAAAACACCTCATTCATAAGAAGGGGAGCTCAACTTGTTGGAATTCCGAGAGAGAGAGAAAGAGAGAGAGAGAGAGAGAACACAGGCGAGAAGAGGGAATACACCTATTGTTTCAGACAATTCTCCTCTCCCAGGCTTAACTCAAGTTTCACTCAGTGGGAATAAAATAATGAAGGACTCATATAAATACTTCTATTTGGTAGAAGGCAATGGAAACGAATAACCTAGCTCATTTAACCTTCAGTCACCACAGCTACAAAAACAAGAAGAGATATGAGCACCGTGTAGGATGAATGTTTCTTTCTTACTCACACCCTCATCCCGCCCGTCTCTCCTTCCCAGGTCTTTATCAACACATTTCAAACGCCTCAGAGATGTTGATAAGGCAGCACCACAGCTGTGAACTCCTCCACAGAAGAGAGACGGCGTCTCAAGACCAAACCTTCCCACCTTTGCGTGGAACCAAAGCCTGACTTCTACCCTCAGCACCCACAGCTGTTTTCCACAAAGAGAAAGAACCCTGCCCACTCCACTGCCTCTTTGATGGCCGCTGTCCTTTTCCTGTGGCCTAATTTAGCTGCAGATTGAAAAGTGCCACAAAAGCAACAATTGGATACGGTTTTCAAGAGTTCCTTCGTAAGATGAAGCTGATTTTCTTCCAGTATCACATTCTTGGTTTCCATTCTTCTTTATTTGTTGAAAGACTCTCTAAATAATCCCCAATATGTATAATTATTACTTGGACGGGAAGTTCATGGTGGTAAAAAAAAAAAAATCATTCTACATTTTTCAAAAAAGTCATCACTCTTCTTATCAAAGACTCGTAAGACGGTGTTGATGGGAACGTGGACAGCTATTGTCACCTACAGCCAGAGGCTCTTCAACAGATCATTGCTCGCATGGAAACCAAGACTCACTAGGTGTCCACAGCCCTGCCCGGGCATCACTTACAGACAGTAAAACAGACAGAGCTCCCGCCCTCTTTGGCGTTTGCAGTTGAAACCAAAGAAGCCTATTCCAACCGGTGACAGCCCTGGAAAGAGCACAGTCTGCAGCACAGAGGTGAGCAAAGAACCTCTGAGTAACTCAGTTCATTTGAAACCCTTCAGTCACGCTATCAAACAAGGTAGTCATGGGTATTTTTTTTCAACAATTTCTTTAAATGCTGAAAGGACATTTAGATGCATTTCTTTCTCATGTAGGAAAGATAGAAGGCAACCTTACTAAGACAGACGCAGAATCTAGCTAATATCTCTTCATCCTATTCTTAGACTCCTAAACAAAAAAATGAATTTCTAAAAGAGAAGAATCCCATGGGAAGGAAGTTCGTTTAGAGTCCAGAAGGCTGGAAGACATTTTAAATCAGTGCAGAGCTCACGGAGAGCAGTGCAGTGAGAAAGTGCAATGTGGGTGCATCATGAGGGTGGAAACGCAGGGTCTGGCTAAGACCTAAGGAAAGACTAGACAGGGCGATTAGAGTGGTTCCAGGGCATGTGTTTGGAGAGTGGTTTATAATGACACAGGCACCTACAAAAAGCTTATTTGGTTTTTCACAAAAATGCGAGGACCCAGTACAAAACCAAAAATTAATCATGATCATGCCCAATCCCTAAAAAGATAAGAAAGATCTGTCCAGATTACTACCATAGGGGCCAGCTTGCCTGGGACCATCTTGTTTACCCTGCTGGCCCCGTGGAATAATTAGGAACACCACTTTTCACTCTCACGTCTCCCAGCCCGGATGATAAATTTTATGGTCATCCTAGATACAAAAGAACGGCAAGCTAATACACTACGGTGAACACTGAAACAAGATACAACATTTTAGAAAGGCTTTCCTTCTGAATTGTGCAATATACTTAATAACGAACCCAAACTTTCTGTGTTGCACTCACACTCACACTCCAAGGTTGGGAGTTGCCTTCCGACACTAAAGTGTGGGGCTCACACTGACGGGAGGGTTACTGTGTGGCCCCAGGCAGTTGCCCTGTAAACCAGCAGCAGATGAACGGTCTTTGAGAGAAGGCCACGAAAGACGATTTTCACCAAGCGACATCTTAACTGAATGGTTCTTCAGCCACAAGATAGGACACTGAGGAAAGGCTCACAGTTCTCTTTGATTCTGTGGGTGCAACAGGTGTGTGTGTGTAGGTGGGAGGAGGGACCATCAGCAAAGGCTTCTGCTGCAGGAGGTTTCAGAGTGAGCGCAGCGCTCTCTAACCACACGCAAGGAGAGCAAAGTGAACTCTGCTGCGTGCCGTGGGAAACCAGGCCTAAGGACAGATTTTCATGATCTGCGCATCTTTCTCCTGTTGCAGGCGACAGGTAAGATCAGTGATAGTTCTTGTACCACAACCTGGTGGCTGCTGGAGCCTCACCTGGGTTGGAGGTGTGCTCTGACGGGGAAAGCCCAGAAGGTCACACTGGGCTCTAAACCACGTGTGAACAGGACATGTGCATCGGATGACCCCAGGTCCTGGTGGACCCAGCCCTCCTTCCTGCAGGGACAAGCCAGGCTCTCAGCAGCTGCTCCCCCAACCACCCACCCCATATGAGGGAATGGGGACAGGAGGTTTTATCACATGAAATCAAAACACTTCTCCAGGGGCACTGCCCGGAATGAAATGCTCTCTGATCCACTGAACATTTTAAACCAAAACATACTCAAACCCTGAACATGAGCCATGTTTGTACTTCTCTTTTTTGGGGGCTGTGAAGGGAGGGTGAGGTGCTACACCGAATAACAATGTTCAGCCCAGGAAAACCCCCAACACACAGGCAAACACCTGCTTCAGGCACAATCCGCCCAACCTAGTGAAGTCATTACAAACAGTTCTTGATGACATGTCCTCCCCAGGTTCAGAGATGAGAGTGACCAGGAAGAAAATGTGCATGTGTTAGGGTGGTGTGTGTGAGGGTGGGTTGTGAAGGGAGTGTATTCCCGGGGAAGGAACAATAGGCTCAAAGGCAAGACTGCATGGGACAGTCGGACAACAGGGGATAGCATGGCTGCATGGCATGTCTGGAGGACCCTGGATATGTGGAATAGTCATGAGTGCGTGTTTGTTCACGGCCAAGGGGAGAATAAGTACATACAGAAATTACCGCCTTTTCTCTAGTCCACACACCAAGGAAAATGGGATCACACTGTAGCCGGCAACTTGAAAAGTCCCATTCCAAAATTTAAAGTACTATTTCAAAATGAAAAATGCTTTGACAGAACATGCACATTTATGCATACACTTCCTCATCTGCTCCTGGTCATCTACAGGTACCAATGATGAAGCAGCTCGTCCTTAGATCTTTGTTAAGAACAAGCTGCCTACCAGACATCTTCACTTCTCACTTCTACACTTTTTTTTTTTCAGATCTAGCATCTCCTTTCCATGTGATGCCACGATGCTATGAGTTGGCAGAGCAAAAGCCTGTCATTCTTAAAACATGAAGAAAATAACTTGGCACCTTTTTCCTGATCTCAGAGAATGCAATTAATGCTCCGGCTGCCTTGGTATGTAGACCAAACCTTCTGCCACAGTGTTTTACAGTACTATTGTCTAGGGCAGCTCTGCCAATCTTTTCATTCCAACAGAAACGATGCCAGGTTTCTCAGAGCTCAGCAAGGTATAATGAGGCTGAAGAGGTGGCTGCATCCCTTCGTGGGGGAATGAATGTGTTCCTGGGTGTTTCTCTACAAAACACAAAGCTATCTCAAGATCTGAGGACTTCTGTCTCTCCCACACCCACTCAAAGCAATAAAAATACAGACTTTACAAAGGAAAAGTAGTTAAAATTGTATATCACTCATCTATGGCTTTTTAATTTTTAGGAAGAATAAAGCAGAGAAAATAATCGGGGACAGCAGTGATTTACGAAAGCATATGATCAATGTGGGGGAATTACTGCCTGCATAACATTAGTCTCTCAAAATATAAAATAAGACATAATTATAACAAGGAAGTATAGGGATAGGGAGAGCAGAGAGAGCCAAGAAAGACCAAGTCTAAATGTGTTTAGATATTATACTACAATACCTGTGTATTGGCTCAGCTGTAAGGTAATCCTAGACCCAGCTCCTGTCTCAACCAGGGCCGACTGAGCGGTCCAGACCAATGATGGTATTTACCATGAATCTCACTGCCCCCAAGTATATTAGAAGAAAGGACAGCAGTAAGAACCAAATCCCTGTGCTGTCACCGATAGCTAGGTAATACTATTCTTGCTACCTCTGTGGCCTTCAAAACTCATAGAATCACAAATTTGTTCTCATGAGAGACTGCCCTAACCCAACTCCTTTGTTTGCAGATGAAGACACTGAGGCTCAGGGGTGTGTGATGTGCACCAAGCAGCAAATTCCTGGGAGAGCTAGAAGGATACAAATCAAGCCCTTGACCTAAGTGCCCGCAATACTATGCTGATCTCACCTGCCATGCCCAACTCCTATTCTTGACCTTGACAGCTTCTCTCTTCTCCCCTAGAAGAGTAGCTCCCCATCCTCTGTCCATATTGGGTGTAACATTAGGATATAATAAGACATATATATCTGGTTCTCACTCTGGTTGTTGGCACAGAGCTCCTAAAATGCTTGTCATTTCCTGAGTGACAGGGGTGAGAGGAGCATTTTTTGTTATATTTGGTCTTGGTTCCCAGTTTCTAACATAAGATCTTCTAGGACTGTTGGACACTCCAGAGTGATGGGTGTCTTCTGTATGCTAATGAGATGACTGGTGGCCTGCATCCCTAGTTAGCTTCAGGATGGGGGCTGGTCACTAGAAAGACCAAGGCATGATGGGAGGGTTGGAACTTTCGGCCCCACACCCTACCTCCCTACCTCCAGGGAGAGATGAGGGACTGGAGTCTTGATCATCATTGGCCAGTGTCTTGATCAATTGTGCCTACCTTATGAAACCTCCATTAAAACCCCTGAACTACGGGTGAACAGGTCAAGATGATGAGAAGATAATGAGTTCCATACCTTTCTTCCATACCTTGCCCTGTGCACCTCTTCCATTTTGCTATTTCTGAGTTGTATCCTTTATAACAAACCAGTCATAGTAAGTAAAGCATTTTCCTGGGTCCTGTGAACCATTCTAACATGAGGAGGGGGTCATGGAAACCTGAGATTTATAGCGGGTTAGTCAGAAGTATGAGTGGCCCAGACTTCTGACTGGTTTCTAAAGTGGGGGCAGTCTTGTAGGGCTGAGCCCTTCAATTGTGGGGTCTGACGCTAACGCCAGGTAGTTAGTGTCAAAATCGAATTAAATTACAGGACACCCCATTGACAGGCAGAGAGTTGGAGAACTGGCTGTTGGTGTAACACCTCTGGTGTTAGAAGTGTTATAAATAAAACAACTCAGTGCTGACTTCCTGGATCTGATCCCTTGCCTCTTTGGTCCAGGGTACCTGCCTCATCCGTCCACCCAGTGGGGGACTAACCTCAATCTCAGGCCTTTCTGACAGGTGAGATCCACCAACCTTGCTTCATGATGCCAAGAATTTTACATGACAATAACTGACTCCCAACAGAAGAAACATCCTTGTCATGGCAACATGCCTACCACCCAAGCCTGACCTTGATCTGATGGTTCTAAAATTTCAACGTGAGTCAAACCTTTTCGTTGAAAATCAGCTACAGTTTTTGGTGAATGTGTCACATTAGCCAGCTGCAGGACATGCTTGTGTCCATTTAATACATAAACACATATAAATATTTACTTCTAAAGGGGACTCTGTCCTATTATCTTTTGGTACAAAAACACAAACAAATATTTCCATGGGTAATTATTAGTATATTTCTAACAGAAGTGGACTAGAAGTCAAAACTCTGAAATTCTACTCCCGGCTCTAACCCATAGAGCAGGTGGGCAAGCTCCCTTCTAATACCTCAGCATACTCACCTGCACATATGTGGCCAGCCCTTCCCTGTCTACCTCACTGGACCAACAACAGCATCAACAAGAACCTGGAAGTGAATGACACGATGCCATGAAGCTGTCTTAACTCTACCCCATCTATGCAAAAAAGAAAGATCTTTCTACCCTCTTATTATATCTAAATATGGGAATAAAAAGGTGACCACAGTGCAAAAAATGGTTAGCAGTCTAAACCAGCGCTGCCCAACAGAAATATCATGTGAGTCACACATGTAAGTTTAAGTTTCCAGGTGGCCGCATTTATTTTATTTAAACCAATATATTGAAAAATATCATTTCCACATGCAATTAACAAAAATTACTAATAAAATATTTGCATTCATCTTTTTATACTAAGTCTTTGAAACCTGGTGTGTATTTTACATTCCAATCATAGTCCACTGGACTAGCCATATATCATGTGCCCCATAGCCACATGGGCTAGTGGCTACCATACTGGACAGTACAGATTTTAGACACAGTGTATGGATGATGCATGAGCCCTTCTTCCATGCCTCGCACAGAGCCCTATAATGAGTCAATGCCCAATCAATATGTGTGGGATGCTTAGGTGTACGGAGATAGCCTTGTACCATGAAACATCTTTGGGACAAGAGGAGGAACAAAAAACATCAGGTCTCTCTCTCTCTGTTGACCTTGTTTTGTTCTCAAAACATAGAAATCTTGACTGGCAGGCTGCTGAAAGGCAAGCTGCTGGTCATGATGAAATTCTAAGCATGGCGTCTGCTGATGGAGTGACCATTCCTCACCAAACCATCTTTAACCTGCCTCACTGTGGACTTGTCCTGGCCTCTATAGTGGCCACTGTCGAAAGCCCAGGGAGGCTGCTGGAAACAGATGAGCACTTGTCCCTGGGTCCCCGTACTACTGTGAAATCATCTGCATGCTATTCAGCGAATTTGCATAAAATTGGAGCCAAAAGATCTTGGCTGGGTTTCCAGTCCCCACTCTTTCTCCTTCCTCGCTGCTATGGCCACCACTATTTATCACCATTTATGAGGGGGGTAGAGCAAGACAGACCCCCAATTAGAATCAGCATAAAAATGGAATCCCTTCCCCACATTGACATGAAAATCAGAGTCCTCAGGGGCAAACTCAGATGTAATCTGGCGGCCACATCCTTTGTTATGACAAGAGTTTATTTTATATGACTCTGACCTGTGACATGAAAACACAGCTTTGGTTGGGCTGTAATGATCCATGACGGCACACACACCTGAACACCTTGGAGCTCAATGTCTGCCCGTGGGCCACCTGGGAAACCAACTCACCACCCTTCATTCCAGAAAGCCACAGGCCTCCACCCCAAATGCAATGCTTACCCTAAAGGACCCTTCTCCTAGCCAGCCAGGTATGTCGAGGGGCAGACCCAAGGTGAAGTGCATCTGCCTCTGGGTGCACACACATCCCTCTCTTCCTTTGTGACCCAGTGGCCCAATCTACAGATGGCAAGTGCACAGAGTAAAGGACACAACAGAGAAGGTGAGGGTGGAAGAAAAAACACAGAGAACACGACGTGCTACAGCTTACATTTTGTTAATTTATCTCGACTGCCTATCTCTTTCTAGGACTATTTCCCAGAAAAATTCCATTTTCATTACAAAACAGGTTTCTTATGCCAGGGTAAAGACTGCGGTGCTGTTATTATGGCCATTGTTATTCCTCCGAGGTCATCTCAGATGGTATGTCTACGTCAGATAAATGGTTTCCTAAACAGGCTTTTCTGCATCCTGCCGCTGCTCATATCTGCCCGAGTCATTGCTTCTGGGGCCTCGATCGAAGCGGCTTCCTGCAAGCTCCAGAAGAAGACAGGCAACAAAGTACTGTGACTAAGAGCACCAAGTACCCTGCAGATGCCTGGGTTCAAATCCCAGCTCAACCACCGAAGCAGCTATAACCAGTCACGTCTCCAAACCTCATCTGAAAGATAGTAAAACCGTGCCAACCTCCCGGGACTGCTGTAAGACACAAATGCATCAATGTAGACAGAATGTTTAGACAGTATCTGGCACACAGCGCACACCTATGAACATCTGTATGAACATCTGCTTTACCACCAGGAGAGCCTCAGTGCTCCTCGAATGCTGCCAGCACCACCCATAACTCATGCAGAAGTACAGCAAAATGACTATCCATGCATTCAGTCCATCAGTCAACATTTATTGGGCACCTACTATGTGCTTGCACTGTGCTAAGCACTAAGGACCAAGTCATGATTCCATCATGTCCCTATTCCTCAACTCCAGTGAACAACTTTACTGATTCTACCATGGAAACGCCCTTCCCAGTCATGCCACCCCAGTGGGGCAGGTGCCCAGGTGCAGCTGCTCAGCCCATCCCAAGATGGACACCTGCCCCATCTAGCCTCCTGCTGCCCTCTCAGCCAACAACAAAAATCACTACCCTGCTGGACAGCTTAACTGTTCTCTACTGCAGGAGAGATCAAATCTAAGTTCCTTGAGGAGACACACAGGACCCTGGGGAGTCAGCTTCAGCTAAGACCCCAGCTTCACCTCATTCTTTTCTACACCATCTCCCCTATATTCTGGTTGCACTGACCTTGGTATCATTCTTGTCAGACCCTATTACACTGTTTATTTGCACATGGCACCCCTTCCCACTCTCCATGGGGGAGCCTCCTACTTATCCGTCTCGACTCAGGCCAAGTGGGAAGCCACCCTTCACTTCCTCAGGAAAAACTCACTGGGTTGCAATATTTCTGTTTGTGTGTGTATGTGTGTCCCCAGGAGGCTGCCCTCTGCAATGCCAGAGAACATGTCCAGGAAACCCTGCAGGTACAGGGATTGCTGAAGGAACAGATGAGCACATTTTTCTTGTACCAAAGTTTCGGATTGAAGCCATGAGGCAGATGTTCAGAGTTAGGGGGGTGCAGGGCAGCTCCTACACATCCCACAGCTGGAGAGGCCTGCTATTCTAAATATGCGAACAATGCAGCCCTGCACAGGGAGGGTCATTTAGATGCAGCAATACAGCAAAAACTCCCCCAGAAATAACAACATCCATAGTGACCGAGTCACGTTCCTGTGAATTCTCTACTCAAAAAAGAAGTGAGGGAGGGAAAGAAATAGAACAGGTAAACAGGTGCCATTCCAAGTCATTTAGCCTCTGTTTTATTTCACTTTCTACACTGTGATTGCTTTGCTTCTTCTCTTTCACTATATTCTGGAATGAATCATTTCACATAAGTGGATTTTTCAGATGACTGAAGCCGAACCTTTTTAAAAATTTTAAGCATTTGGAATAGAGATATTTCTGAAACGATAACTCTGCCTCCCTGAACTCTTCAACTCTTCCTATGGAAAGTCACCCCACCTTGAAGACCCAGCAGCATCACTAGGACTAAGGAAGATGGTCCCGTGCCACAAGCCAGGGATGACCTCACGGGCTGGTGACATCTCCATTACTGTCTGCCCCACAGCAGGGAGCCTCCGACAGCTGTGTTTCTTAGTTCTCGAACCAGTTTTAATAGCATTTCTCTCTTCTTCCTTACAATTAGACTCACCCCATAACTTTTCTAATAATTTGCAGGCTTCTGTTACCAACGCAGTACCAGATTATTATATTTAGTGTTTCCACTGACTGGAAAAATATGATAACCAACCTTAAGAGAAACTATATATATATATTTTGGGTGGACAATTATTCATCCTTAAAAGAAATGAAATTCTGACACATGCTACAACACGGATAACCCTTGAGGACATTATGCTCAGTGAAATAAGCCAGACACAAAGGATAAATACTGTATGATTCCACTTATATGAGGCACCGAGAGAAGTCATATTCAGAAAGACAAAAAGTAGAATAGTGATTACCAGGGGCTGGGAGAAGGAGGGAATGGGGAGTTACTGATTAATGGGCACAGAGCTTCAGCGTGGGGTGATGAAGAAATTCTGGAGGTAGATGGTGGTCATGGTTGCACAACTATGTGAATGTGCTGAATGCCACTGAATGGTGCAATTAAAAATAGCTAACAGGGTAAACTTTATGTTATATGTATTTACTAATATATATATATATATATATATATAGTCTTTTTAAAAAGCAAACCTGTTAAGAATGATGTGCAAGCTCTTATGAGTAATCAGTGTGACCTTTCACATGTGAACTTTCATGACATCTCTCTGCAGAGCAGGGGCTGAAATTACTTCCTAGTTCCATCACAACTGCTAAACAGAGGTCTGCAAGGTGTTCATGGACTCTGCAGCCATAAAGGCCTTTTCTTCAGAAATTACAATACAGGTGACAGGCGGGTGCTCTTCGCTTCCACGTGGACATGATAAATACTCTCAGGGAGAAATGGGGCAGAGAAGGGGCGGTGCTTTCTCCTCTTTGCACTGGAAACCACTGAGCCAGTCCTGGGCACTGAATCCTGGGCACAGAATCCACACCTTCCCTCCTGTCCTGAGATCAGACCCTATAACCAAGGGGTCCCATCTAAAGCCCTTCAAGAACAAAGATCCTAATTATCTGAAGTCATTAGGACTTTAAGGATTTCTAAAAATACATAAAGCAGCCTTTTAAATAGTATACTGTTGAGTTATAGAGTATAAATTAGACATTTCAGATTCTATTGGACCAACATTTTAAAGCAGTCTGATCCATAAAAGAGAGAGGAAATGGCTGGGGGCGTGTTCTGTTCCACTAACGCAGAGCCCAGAGTTTGGGGAACCTGGTGCTGAACTCTGTCTCGCTTAATGAAAGGTTACTATTGTCCCTCTGCCTGAATAATAATTTCCCTTCCTTTTTTGCTTCCTTACGAAATACCATGAAGTTCTACTCTAAAAGTCATAACATCTTGTGCCTGGGAGAAGTGTTTAATTGATTTATTTTTATTTATACATGCTTTATTAAACAAAGCCCTTAAAATAGTTTTTTCGTCTGAATTTGAGTTCCTTATTCAGCACATGAACTTCAAATTCGTTAAATATTCAATCCATACCTGTGTAATGGCACAGAGAGATGCCTAAATTAATGAGGAAGCAGAAAAAGAGAGAGAGAGGTTTCATAAGGAGCCTCGCAAGACTTTCCTATCTTGTCAGAAGTTCATGTTTAAGTTTCTTTAAGAAAGTAGTTTCCTGGCCCATGGTGAAACTCCCTGAGCCCTGCGAATCAACAGAGCAGCATCCTGTGGAAATGTTATTATGGAAACACTGCGCTGCTCTAAGCCAAACGTATCCAAATTAAACCGAGGGGATGGAAATAACTCTCCCCTGGTATGCCCGTGTTGCTGAAGGTGGGTTTGTTTACGAGTAGAATAACATTTACAGCCAAATATAAAAACAGAAACATCATCATCTTGTGAACTTGAGTAACATGTCATTCCACTTCTGGGCTCGGGAAAAAAACACGGAGGTCATGCCTAAAATAAGAACGGCCAAGGCTGAGGATCACACTCCAGGTAAAACCGCAGACTTTCCCACCTTCTGATTAAGGCAGGAGGCTTGTTACAATTGGACAGTGAGATCATTTCTCTGGAACCAGGAGCGCCCTGTGGATCTCTTCTTCCAACACACACACACACACACACACACACACACACACGCTGACCCCTGGAGAGCTTCTGAACCAGGTGTCTGGTCTTGGTATGAAGCAATTTTTACTACTTATTTTTCAAAGGCTATTTATGCAGACGCTTGGGAGCCAAAGAGGAGAGAGACAGAAACAGTGTTTTTCTCTCTCTTCGTTTAAACTAGGAAAGCTTTTAAAAATCCACCTCCTACTCCCCAAAATAAAGATAGCTAATTGGCTTTCTAAAGAGACACAAAAGAGACCCCAAAGTTATGTGCCTCAAATTGTTATATTTGATAGGTTTCTGTTTTAAATGTTTAAAAATTTCTTTAAGTTGCAGAGGACATCAGTTACCACTCTGGTTGCCTAAAAAACTTCCGAGACCAAGTTACTTGACTTTGCAGAACCTCTGTTTCCTCATCTATAATTCCACTTCCTACCTTCAGGAGAGGTTATCAGGGTTAAATAATCTTCTGTCCATAACAGTGTTACACCCAGAGTCTGGCACATATTGGGGTTCAAACATGCTAGTTTCCTTCCTTCCTCCGGACTCTCAGTGACTGTCGCCAATGACCAATGTCGTGATTAATGAAAACTGGGGAAAATGACAGGATCTATAGGGAACAAGGAAAAGTGCCCCAAACATTTTAGCCAAAAATAGTAGGTCTTTAATTCTATACTGTGCATGGTAACCCATTTTAAACTAATGTGTAGGCTGCATTATATTAATACATATATGAATTTTAAGGTGGGACACTATGTTTTCAGCTGTTAATTTAAAAAAGCGATTCAACCTACTCACATAGCCACATGACCTTTAGACTCTAGAAATCCTACTGATGGAGGTTCCCCCTTTTCTATATTCAATGGGCACTTCACTAGCCAAATTTATGTTGGTTACCTAGAGAGAAGCCCAATCTTAAAAGTCAATAAAAGCCCGGCCTCTGTGGCTCAATGGTTGAGCACCGACCCATGCACGAAGAGGTTGCCGGCTTGATCCCCAATCAGGGCACATGCCTTGGTTACGGGTTTGATCCCCCGTGAGGGTGTGCAGGAGGCAGAGGATCGATGTTTCCCCTCTCGTCGATGTTTTCCTCCCCATTTCCTATCTATAAAAATCAATTTAAAATCATTGAAAATATGGGTTGCTAATTAGATGCCAACCATCATCTATGTTCTTATAATTCTACCTTTCCCCTGTTGAAAGGGGCTGTTTTCCAGAGCTCCCACGTGGAGTTTTAGAGAACGCTCACATCCATCACACTGCTGTCCTCTAAGGAGGCATTACACGGTCAAGTCCACCGCCCACCTCACATGCACACCCATGGGCTCTTGAGTGAATGTGTGGGGATGAAATGACAAGCAGGTGTGGGCCCCTCTGCGGTAAACATAAGACACACTTCAAAAGCTAAATCAAAGAAGGAAA